TGAAGAAAACAAATCTACAGGAGCCAGCCCAGTGATGAGGGGTTAAGTTCCCTTGTTCTGCTTTGGCAGCTGGGGGTTCCCGGTTGCAGACCTACGCACTGCTTGTCAAGGCATGCTGTGGCAGGCATCCCACATATAAAGTAGAGGAAGATGGGCATGGATGTTAGCTCAGGGCCAGTCTTCCTCAGCAAAAAAGAGGACGATTGGTGGCAGATGTTAGCTCAGGGCTAATCTTCCTCAAAAACAAAAAAAATAAATCCACAACTGGAATGATTGTGGTATAATGGCAGTATATTCCAAAAGAAAGAGAAAATCTTAAAAGCTGAGAGAAAAGGCAGATTACCTACAGAAAAATGACTGTCCAGTTGACAGCACATTTCTTAGCAGCAGTGGTAGATCCTACACCTATCATCGAAGTAGGATGCTGAAATAAAGACCTTTTTGGACATACAAAGACTAGCAGAATTTTTTACCTTCAGACTTTAACTGAAAGAATTACTAAAAGTTGGACTTTAGCAAGAAGGAAGTTGAACCCAGAAGTAGGTCACACCATTACAGAGCAAGGGCAAACCCAGAAATTGGACATGTTAATTAACTTCAGTAGTGTAAGTAAATGGCTGCCTCTGTGTTAGGATTTGAGTGCAAACAAAATGTTTTGCCAATTGAGTATTTAACTGCTTAGACTTGGTGTTGATGTCTGAAATTCTTCGGTTTATGATGGATTATTTTCACGTCAGGCACAGGTTTTTAAGGAGAAGTCCATGGATGGAATTCAAGCCACCCATGAACTTCTGAAAATCAGAGGTGACACATTTTGTGTATGTGTAGTTTTTCCGCAGACACGATTCATGGCTTTCGTCAGACATTTAAATGGATTTAGAGCCTGAACAAGTTTAAGAACTACCGGATTAGGGTATTGTCCCCTATTAAAATAAAATTACATCGATACTTCACTCGTTCTGAAGTTGAGATACGGTGACCTGAATTTGAATGTTAGATCTGTTGGTTACTTTAGGGAACTATTGAGACCCTGGACAAATTATTTTTCTTCTTGCCTGTGCAGTGCACAACCTGTGTGGCTACGCAAAGCAGCGATCTATCTGGCCCCTGAGACTGTATCTCACCATCACAGTTGGTATTTGATTATAGCTGTTAGAATTTTCTAAAGAGAGTCGCTATTGAGCTATCAGAAGAAATAAAGCTTCTAAGTGACCAATTTTAGGGTATAATAATAGGTTTAGTGCTGGTGTTTTGTTAATTGAGCATATGTTTTGCATAATACATTGTCCAAGTGTGCTTGTGTGTGGGGGGCTGTGTTCAATCGTTCTCTCTCCCAGTGAAATTTGGTACTAAAACAACTATTAACTGGTGACCCTGTGTAATTTGTGTTTTTATAATACAGTTGTAATGTATGTTAGATATGTGCATTTTATATGTAATTTTAATTCCACTTGTTCACTCTTTCAGTAGGTGTTTATTGAGTGCTAGTGTCAGGCCATTTACAGCACTAGATGTGGTCATCGATTTAGAGTTGAATATGGCTGTCCTGTGTCCGAGGAATTACTCTGAATTAGGAAAATGGTGGAGGGTCGTAACCAAATCCTTAGTCCTAGCCTAAGACCTAGTCAGGTCAAGAGGAAGCTGTTCCTGGAAGCAGATATTTGGGATGTCAGCCTCCATGTGTAACTAAGAACAGAGTAGAGCGTGCATCTTTGAAGGAGGGCTGCTGTGAAGCCATGGGCTTCCTCACGTACCGCCAATGTCAAAATGTCTGCTTGCCTGTGTAATTATGATCATAATCACACAGTCTGTTTTGAAAGCTGCTACATTGGAAGGTGAGTCCCAGCCACCGGTTAGAGCACTCAGATGGGTCTTCTTCTCCCAAAGACCAGGCCTCCTTGTGGCTCCCGAGCACCCCCTAATCCCTAATTAGAATCCCTAATCTCAGTCCTGCTGGGGAGAAGACAGTCCCCAGTTCCATTTCCATTTGCTCTCTGCGGGTCCATTTCCTCTCTCAGGACAGGGTATCTCTTAGAGGGCGAAGGGAGGTGGTTTTTCAAATGGTTACAAACAGCATGGACACAGTTAATATACCTCTTAAAATGAGGGTATGTTTCCCTTTTCATTGGTAGAATCCTACCCTTTCTTGTGTAACGTTGAGAGATTCTCAGTTTTAACTGAATAAGATCATAATCTCTTCTTATTTTTATTCAAAAGAAGGAACACCTTTATAGATCTTAAATGAAATGAAAAGGACAGCTAGAATTTTGAGATGGAACTTTTGTGGAAAATGCTGAATGTCGGAGGATAATGCAATACGGTCTCTGGTCTGCCACCCTCCCTTCTCTAGTTATTTGCAATTACATTAGGACAATTAGATTATAACTCAGACTTCTGCAAACCCGTTTAGAAAGATAAGGAATTTATTTAACTGTATTGTACTCTAAATTGTGAGATTCAAGATTGATTAAAAGGTTGGGGTTTTAAATTGAAATTTTCTCCCATGTTATTTTATATCTATATGATTCACCATAAAGATTGGTTTTAAAAGTTTCAAAGCTATTGATGTTATTTTATCCTTTTCAGTTAAATTGAGGTTACTATTTTTAAAAAATTGATTCTGGCCTCTTTTTGTATCCCTCAAACTACCACTTTCTCAGCCATTCCTAGAACTAGTCGGAGAGTTTTCCTTGGCCTAAAAATAGAATAAAATAAGCAAAATTAAATATGTTTTTAAGGAAAAGCTAAAGAAAAGCATAGTACATGCTGTTTTTCCCTGTAAATGGGAAACCAAGTGTCTGATCCTGTATTTTATCGGTTTACACATACCGTGAGGTAGATATACTTGATGAAAATAATCACTGTCCTGAAGGAATGATTTTGTGTGTGTGTGTGTGTGTGTGTGTGAGATCTTCAGTGTGTGTGGACGTATGCAGGGGCTTGTTTGGGCAGGAGTGTGACTGAATTGGCTAATGGGAACAAGCGGCAGTACCACACTGTCTACAGTAGGCTTCTTCTCGTCTTTTTCTCTGAAGTGTTCCATTGCGTCTTCTTTTCCTGAGAGCCAACAAGTCTTTCACCAGCTCTGAGACAGTGAGCATTACTTGGAGCTGTCTTGCCTGAGGTATTCTAGGCCTTTCACTTGTCGGTGGCTGCTGTGGGAGGTGAGTGTATTGGTTTTGACTCTGGCTCTCGAGTGGGTGACTAAATGTCAGCTCCTCAGCTTCCTCCCCGCCAGGGCTCAGCACACCCTCCAAGTTGAATGTGTAGCGGTTTTAACTTGCCTCCTGGTGCTCTTGATGAAACTATCCTGGGCCGCTCGAATCATTCATTGAACACATATTTGAGTGTCCGTCCTAGGCTATGCACAGCTCTAGATCTGTGTAATATATATGTGAAAACCACAAAAGTCACTGGGCTCTTGGAGTTTACACCCAGCTCCTGGTTAACTTTCAGTTGACTCCCTTCTGGAGTGAGGGGTCGCATCCCTAAGCCATGAAGTGTATTCATATACTTGGCCTTTTTGGTTTTTTTGGATTTTTACAGAGGAAGATTCGCCCTGAGCTAACGTCTGCTGCCAATCATCCTCTTTTTTTTTTTTTTTTTGGCTTGAGGAAGATTTGCCCTGAGCTAACGTCTGTGCCAGTCTTTTTCTACTTTTTATATGTGGGACACCACCACAGCATGGCTGGTGAATGGAGTAGGTCCATGCCTGGGATCTGAACCTGCAAACCCAGGCTGCCAAAGCAGAGCACGCAAAACTTCAACCATTCGGCCATGGGGCCAGGCCCCTGTTTGGTTTTTTTTTTTTAGCTTCTAATTGTGCATAGCAGATGAATAAGACACCGTTGCTGCCCTCAGGGAGTTTGTGAGAGAGAGAGAGAGAGACAGGCAAACTTGTAAACCTTTGCTGCCCAGCAGGCTGGATACATGATATAATAAAGGCAGAAGCAACAGCCCTGAGGAAAGGCAGTGGAAGTAAAGAGTGACTCTTCAACTGGGGCATGGTTTTTATGATAGAGCTGCTGTTGAGCTTAGCCTTGTGGTCATCTGTGAGTCTTGAGGGGCCTGGAAGTGGGGTGTAGGGATGGGTTTAGCAGGCGATGAGGATTGAGGGAAGGGATGGGCAAGGCCAAGTGTTGGAAGACTTTGACTGCACACTAGAGGTTCTGGAAACAGAGGAGTCAGTGGGTTTCACAGGATGACAGTGACATGACTGACCCTCTGTTTTAGGAGCATAACTGATGGCAGTGTGTGTGATGCATTGAAAGCAAGAGCTGGGAGACCCGCTGGGTGGTTATCTTACATTTATTCTTTTACTCATTCAACATTTACTTATCTGGGGCTTGCCTTGTGTTTATATTTATAAGTGATTGCCAATCTTAGATGCCATTTTAAGCAGAGTGGAACCAATTTAATGTTCTAAGTCATCTTTCAAGCTTGAGGTTTACATTTTTGTTTCTTTTTTGCTGAGCAACTGAAAGGTACATATGAAGATGACTTTAGCGGGACATCTCAGTCTTTATGCTGAGTTTCTCTTGCTCTCTGCTTCACTTGTCAGTGGTGTATAAAAATGCAGCAATCTGCTCTGCTGTGAGCACAGATCTGTCCCTCACAATGGCTGGTTAACTCAAGATTTAATTCAGAGAAAACTGATTTCCTTTATATTTTGTGATAAGAGCTACAGAGAAAAACTGGAAGAAATATAATGGGTTGTCTTGACAAAATGCTTCTGCTGCTCTCTAGGAGCCAGTCCACCTCTCTTGGTCCAGAAGAGATATTGCATTTTAAACATGTGGTGGTGGTTATTCATTGTACTTTTTTTTTTAAGGTAGGAAATGTTCTTTGGACTGAGTTAAATGCTGCTCGGCATAAAAGACGTGATGTGGAACAAAGCGTGCAGACTGTGACTAATTGACGTGCCCTGGGCTAACGAGAAGACAGAATGTATCTAATCAGCAGCAGAACAAACACTCACAGAGGGTCTCCTTCTCTCCTAGGACTTCCTTCGCCGGGCATCTGGCCGGGATTCTTGTTGGACTAATGTACACGCACGGGCCTCTGAAGAAAATCATGGAAACGTGTGCAGGTACAGAACAAAACGCCTTTGGCGTGACAATGAGTTGGAAGTTCATCTTAATTTTAATGGGAACAGAAGCAACCCCCAGTTTCCCTGTGGTGCAGCTTAGGAATTCCCTAGCAGGCTCTTTTTAAACCAAGAGGTAAAACAGCTGGTCCAGTTCTTCATACTGCTCCAAAGAAGAGGCTGAAAACCCAAATTTTAAACCTGAGGCTTTTTTAGGGGACAAATAGTAGTATATATTTACACCACCCTTAGCATTAATGCTACTCACAGAAAAACACAATTTCCTTGAAAATGCAGAGAACTAAAGTGGGTTTAAGATGATGCATTCTTCTATAATATTTCATGAATTAATATATATGCAAGGCAGAGTTAAAAAAGAAAAACAAATCTGTACTGAAGTGCAAGGCCAGTATTTTAAAGAATTCAGAATGACCACTAGGTCCTTGGCGGGCAAGACGTATTCATGCATAGCCAAACCGAGTCTGTTATGGCGTGCAGCTTGGCTCCTGCTTTAATAATTTTTTCTTTCTTTTTTTGCTTTCTTCCCCTTCAAATTGATGCTCAATGAAAATACTTTATTTTATTTAGTAATCTATGAATTTTTTAGACCTCTTAATTTAAAATGCTATACTGGTGTTGACTTATAAGGGTCTCCTTATATTGCAAACACTTGTTTTATAGACCATATGAGTTCCCATATTTCATCTTTTATTCATGGAAAATCTTCTGAGACTATTTTGCCTTTTCTTGAACCATAAATAATTTGTTTTTGCAGTTTGTGCCACTGACTGCTATTCGTGAGCACCATATAATATTCATGATATCAGGAAGCTTTCCAGGCGCTGCACTGTCACCTTTATGAGCAGGTTGCGTTCACTTTCAGATGATTTTTACAGACCGTGTTGAATCTAAGCAGATTCCCATTTTCTTACATTTGCTTAATACTGTGTTTCCAGCGTGTGTGTGTGGAGGAGGCAGCAGGAGCTTCATTTATTGAAAATGTCCAGTTTTATTATATTTTTGATATAACTTAATTATGGAAATCTAGTAATGAGTTGTGTTGCCCAAATGCGCTCAGTACTGATAAAGGAAAAGAAATGCTTCTCGGGAGTTTAATGTTTTGTTTCATTTTTCTATGTGTGTCTGAAGATTAAGTGGTGAGTAAAGCTTTCTGCAGCCATCTTGCAAAATTTAGGCAAGTATTTTGTTTTTGAGGAGGATTTTCCCTACAATTAGAACATTTAAACTCTTTAGTTTTCCTTCTTAAAATCTTGCCTATTTTTATGGAGACTTATTTTTACATCCTTCTATCTTCAGAGTAATACAGTAGAAAATTACATACTAAAAGTTGAAACAAACATTCAGTGCTATTTACAAATAGCCTGAAATCTCTCTGCCTTTTTTCCCATGAAGCCAGAGAGGGATCTAGAATAATCTGAGAATTGCAGTGACACAGGAACCCTGTGGAAAATAACCAGGCACGTGAAGGCTACTGTCTGGTAACTCCTGGAAGAGGAGGATCACACTGAAGGTGTGCCTGTCACTGTTCCCTCTCTCCCTTCCTTCAGCAGTGCTGAATTGACTGCCCTACTGCCTTTTTAGGGACAAGAAAGGGGAAGGTCCCTTAGGAAGGGTAAGGAGTGTGGCTCTCCTAACACCCTTGTTGGAAGCAGCTTCTATAGCCAGAGCATCTCTACTTGTACAGAGACATCAAAGCCCGAGCTTGGTACCTTAGGAGGCAAAGTATCTTATGTCAAGCAAGAGAGCTTTAAAGAGCTTCAGAGAAGGGCCAGCCCTTTCGTGCACCGGTTAAGTGTGCACATTCCGCTTTGGTGGCCCAGGGTTCACTGGTTCGGATCCTGGATGCAGACATGGCACTGCTTGGCAAGCCATGCTGTGGTAGGCATCCCACATATAATAAAGTTGAGGAAGGTGGGCACGGATGTTAGCTCAGGGCCAGCCTTCCTCAGCAAAAAGAGGAGGATTGGCAGCAGTTAGCTCAGGGCTAATCTCCCCCCTTCCCCCCCCCCCAAAAAAGCTTCAGAGAGTATAAATTAGGATTTAAGTGTCCCACACACATTCTGTTCCCTATAGAGCTAGACTCAAACAAGAGGAAAATCATTTATTTGGTTTTTTTTGCTGAGGAATATTTGCCCTAAGCTAACATCTGTTGTCAATCTTCCTCCTTTCTTTTTCTTTTTTATGTGAACCACCACAACAGCATGGCCACTGACAGACAAGTGGTGTGGTTCTGTGCCCAGGAACTGAATCCGGGCCACCAAAGCAGAGTATGCTGAACTTTAACCACTAGGCCATCAGGGCTGGCCCAATGGAATTTATTTTAACAATTGTTTAGAAATCATTTGAAATGACCTTGAGCTTTGTTATAAAGAATCTCCTAATTATTGGAAGGATTAGAAGTTAAAGCCTTATGGTTATTCTGTCCCATTGGTCCGTGTGTCTGTTTTTATGCCAGTACCATACTGTTTTGATTACTATAGCTTTGTAATATAGTTTGAAATCAGGAAGTGTTAGGAGGGCTGTTGTCAAAAAGATGAGAGATAACAAGTGTTGGTGAGGATGTGGATAAAAGGGAACCCTGGTACCCTGTTGTTGGGAATGTAAATTGGTATAGTCATGGAAAACAGCATGGAGGTTCCTCAAGAAATTAAAAGTAGAACTACCATGTAATCCAACAGTTCCACCTCTCAGTATATATCCAAAGGAGGTGAAGTCAGTTTCTCAAAGAGATTTCTGCACTCCCATGTTCATTACAGCGTTATTCACATTAGCCAAGATATGGAAACAACCCAAGTGTCTCTCAGCAGATGAATGGATAAAGAAAATGTGGTGTACACAAGTACAATGGACTATTATTCAGCCATAGAAAGAAGGAAATCCTGCCATTTGTGACAAAAATGGGTGAACCTGGAGGACATTATGCTAAATGAAATAAGCCAGACAGAGAAAGACAAATAATGTATGATCTCACTTATATGTGGAATCTAAAAATGTTTAACTCATGAAACCAGAGACTAGAATAGTGGTTGCCAGGGGCTGTGGGGAGAGGGAAATGGGGAGATATTGGTCAAAGGATACAAACTTCCAGTTATAAGATGAATAAATTCTGGTGATCTATTGTACAGCATCATGACTATAGTTAATAATACTGTATTGTATACTTGAAATTTACTGAGAGTAGATCTTGAGTTCTCACACACACGAAAGTAGTACCTATGCGAGATGATGGGTGTGTTAATGGACTTGATTGTGGTAATCATTTCATAATGCATACATATATGAAATCATCACATTGTACAGCTTTTAAAAAATGACACCGTGTAAGCTAAATATATACAATTTTTTTTTTTTTTGTCAAGCATACCTCAATAAAGCTGGCTGGGGGAGCCTGATGACAACAATTAAAATGTTTGTTTCCTTCCTCTTTAGGCATGTTTTCCTCCAATGTTGCTTATCCAGAACAGCGATACTACTTTAATAGTTCAGGTAAGCACTTTATTTCATTTAATAAATTTTAACTTATTTTTAAAAATTATAGCGTTTGCTGCTATAGAGCCACTTTAAAGTAGTACTGATCTATGCTCTTGTAGAGCAGTTCACATGTCATGTAATTGTGCCTCTAACATCCCTGCAACCTAGTTGGAGGGGTAGCCCTGGGAACATGTTTGGGTGCGTTGGTAGGGAAGGCCAGGGAAGGAGGTAACTCAGGCATGAAATTATTGTGTGATTGGCGTGAGGTCTCTCAGACAGGATGGATTCATACTAGACCCAGACTCCTCTATGCTCAGCCTAAGAGACTGTCCTCCTGGCTAAGTGTGAGAAGTTAGTTTCAGGTAAGCAAGTCCCCCTAGTCCACCCCATCTACATATTCAGGAAGAATCATGCTTACCCTAAGAGGCTAGATAGGCATTCCTCTAGGAAGTTAATAAGTTAATACCTTGGGACTTTCTAGATGTCTATGTAAGTAGGTAGAAAGGACTTCCTGCTAAAGCATGTGACCTGTTTTAGGCTAAGGCCCTTACATCCCATCCTGGGAAGCATGTGCTGTATTATCCCAGACCTGTACCAGCACACCGGTGGTAAAGAAGCCGTAGGCTACGGCAGCAAGCACGGGGTCTCTTTATAGTCATGCCAGTTGAGAACCGGCAACCTTTTCTATAAAGGCCAGATAGCTGATGTTTTAGACTCTGAGGGCTTTGTTGGCCCTATGGTCTCTGTCACAACTAGTCAACCTGTCGTTGTAGCATGAAAATAGCCATAGGCAATTCATAACTTAATGGGGGTAGCTGTTTTCCAATAAAACCTTATTTACAAAAATTGGCAGCAGGTTGGATTTGAACCACAATTTGTAGCTTTTTGACCTCTGCTTCAAATAATATAGGCACAAAGAATTATTGATTTATGTATATATAGTGCTTTTGCTTTCTTTTCCTATAGAATGTTCTTAGCCCCAGTCTGGTTTACCCAGTAGAGCTTGGTGAGTGGCCATGTTGTGCAGAGTGCCAGACCTGCCACTGTGTGAGAAGGGGAAAGAGCTACAGTCCCTGTCTCAAAGAGTTTATAACCAGGAGTTATATGTATGGTTAGTTATACTAAAACGTCTCCTTTAGTCAATCTCCCTCTCTCTTCATGGGCAACCACTGTTCTGATTTCATTTCCCTCACCATAGGTTAATCTTGAAAGTCATATAAATGCCATCATTTACTAAGTACTCCTTTGTATCTGACTTCTTTCATTCAACCTAATTTTTTATGATCCATATATGTTGTTGTATGTATCAATATATTTTTTATTGCTGAATGGTATTTTATTATTTCAATATACTACTGGTTTTCTAGATATCCTTTTCTTAGTGATTTTTAATTTAATTCTCTTGTTGTTAGGGAACACACTCTGTGTAGTTTCAATCCTTTTAATTTAATGAGACTTTCTTTTGGCCCAGCATGTGTTCTGTCCTGGTGAATGTACCATGTGCTCTTGAAAAGAATATGTATTCTGCCATTGATGAGTATAGTGCTCTATACATATCAATTAGGTCAGGGTGGTTTATAGTCTTATTTATATCTTCTATGTCTTTACTGATTTTCTGTCAATGCTAAGGGGGAGTTTAAAATCTCTAACTATTATTGTGAAGTTATCTTTATCTCCCTTTAATTCTGTCAGTTTCTGCTTCATGTATTTTGCCTTTCAAATTTGGAAGGGTTTCAGATACTATTTCTGTAAATATTTATTCTCCACTAATCTCTTTCTCCTGTCCTTCAGAAATTTTAATGACGTGAATTTTAGACATTTTGATAGCGTCCCTCAAGCCCTTCAGGCTCTATTTATGTTTTTCAACTTTTTCCCTCTGTGTTCTTTATATAGGATAATTTCTCTTGATCTATCTTCAAGTTCAGTGACTCTTTGCTCTGTCATCTCCAGTCTGCTGTTGACTCTATTAAACCTATCCAGTGAATTTTTTTTAATATTTTATTTTTTAGTTCTAAAATTTCCATTTGGTTCTGTTTTTGTAGTTTCTTTGTCTCTGCTGAAAACTCTGCCTCTCCATTCATTTCAAGAGTGTTCATCTTTATCTCATGGAGCATGGTTATTATACCTTCTTTAAAATCTGCCTGATAATTCCAACATCTGGGTCCTCTCATTTGCCTGGCATCTGTTGATTATCTTTTTCTCCAGAGAATTAGTCACATTCTTCCATTTTGTTTTGGTTTCGCATATCCAGTAATTTTGTCTTGTATCTGAACATTTAAATTATTATATTGTGAGATTCCAGATCCTGTGAAAATCCTTTGCAACATGTTGGTTTTGGGGGAGTTTTTTGTTTGTTTTCACAGACAGTCACCCTGGTTAGGCTTAGACCACAAATTCTGTCTCTCCTTCTGTGGGTGGTGGATTCCAATGTCAGTTCAGTTTTCAGATCCTTTACTGTGCTATTTGGGCCTATCACATGCATGTACCACTCACAGGTTAATCTGATACTTGTGTGGTGGGTTATATGGTAGTTTAGTTTTCAAAGCCTTTGTTTTTTTTATTCCCCCTTGGGTCTGTTCATCACATGCATAGCTCAGGTTGGGCACACAGCTTGTGTCAGTTGATCCACAGAAATAAGGATCCCTTTTTTATAGATCCAAATTTCCATGTGGTATCATTTTTCTTTTGCCTCAAGAATTTTCTTAAACATTTCCTCTAGTGCAGATTTCTTGGTAATCAATCCTTCCAGCTTTTGTTTTATTAAAGAACTAAAGAATATCCCCCCTTTTTATGATTTCCAGTTATGCCAATGTTAGACTGCTTCACGTTGGCCCGCAAGTCCCTGAGGCTCTGTTTATTTTACTTGATGTATATGGGCTTCAGTTTGGATAGTTTCTATTGCTGTGTGTTCAAGATCACTGATCTTTCTTCCACAATGTCGAATCTGCTGTGCGTCCCATCTAATGAATTTTTCATCTCAGATACTGTCTTTTTCAGCTCTAGAAGTTTCATTTAGTTCTCTTTTATATCTTCCATTTCTCTCCTCATTATATTCATGTTTTTATTTATAACTGTGCTCATGATTTAAATAAAAACATGAATATAATGAGATGAGCACAGTTCTAATAGCTGTCTTAAAGTCTCTGACTGCTAATTTTGTCTCCTCTATATCTTTTTTGCATCTGCTTCACTAGATTGATTTCTCTCCTTGTTGTGGGTCACAATTTTTGCTTATTTAGTAAGTTTTGATTGGATGCTAGACATTGTGTATTTTGTGGCATTGAGTGCTAGAGTTTATCTTCTTTAAAAGAAAACTGGGCTTTGTTCTGGCACACAGTTAAGTTTCTTGATGATTAGTTTGATCTTTCTGGTTTTTTTTTTAAATTCTCTGGGTGGGTCTAAAGTAACTTTTATTCTAGAGTTAATTCTGCACTACTACTGAGGTGTTTCTTTCTTGGGATTTTTCCTGAATGTCGTTTGTTCCATAAGAACGCTCTACCCTGGCTGGTTGAAACAAAGTCTGCCAGCCCTGAGTGAGCTGTGGGAAATGTTCAGCTTATAGCTCTCAGTCATTCTTTGTCTCGTCTCGTGGCATTTCACGTACACACACATGACACATATTCAGCAATATCTTCAGGGAGATCTCTGGAGGTTTTTCTGTACACATAGTTTTCTCCTTTGCTGTGCTCTGCCCTGCAAATTCCAGCTCAACTCAGGGACCCTGCTGTGCCTGCTTGTGTTCCCCCTCCCTGCACCACAGTCTGGAAAGTACCTCTATGCTCATTTCCTTTATTTCCTTTCTCCCAAGGTCCAAAATCCTGCCCTGCCTATTATACAATGTCTGGAAACATTTGTTTCATATATTTTTCTCCTGGCTTCTACTTGGTTATGGCAGGAGGGCTAATCCAGTTGCAGTTACTCCTTCCTGGCAGAGGTAGAAGTCCAATCCAGCAATATTAATGTAGTGCATTCAGTGCTCAGCCTGGGAGGAAGGAGTAGGGTTGCAGTTACTGGAGGTTATCCAGAGGAAGTGGAGTGCTGAGTCTTGATCAGTCAGTAGAAGGAAAGCAATGGGAGGAAAGGACTTTTCAGGCCTTTACGAAAAGGGCTGTTTGGGATTATCCAGAATGTGCTGGAGTGCCTCTGAAGGCTTTAATCATTAGAGTGATACTATTGGAGTTACATTCAAGCTATGTTTTTGACGTGGTTCTAAAGGCTTGGGTCATGATTGTCGATCCTGGCTGTATATATGAACCACCTGAGGGACTTTACAACCTATCCAAGCCTTGAATTCACCCCAGACCAATTAAATCAGAATGAGGACAGAGATAGGGACTTGGACTTCTTTTTAAGCTTCCTAGGTAATTCTAACGGGATCGGGAACAGAAATTATAGGTTTAGATTGAGGTTCTCTAGGTTTGGGGACCACAAAGGGGAATACTGTTGCTGCTCCAAGAAGAGGTTTCACTTCTGAGGCTTTTACTTCTCCTGATTTGGATGCTTAAAATCCTAGAAACGTGGTGTTAGTGCAGACGAGGAACAGTTGCTGGACAAGGAAGGCCAGCTCACCTGCTACTGTGTGTGGACTCATCTGAAGAGAGGCGGTATGATGGTTAGTTATTGACAAAGCTGATAAGCTGGAAGAGCATTGGGTCCTTTTGGTTGTTGGTTATGGAGACCAGTTCACAATGACTTAAGTATAAGAAGAACTTTATTGGTCTATGTGACGAGAAAGAGGTGGCTTGGACAGGAAGATCGTTTTAGTTCTAAGTCCCACTGTGATTTCTCTCTTCCTGTTGACTGTTCTCTCCACTAGGCAGGGGACCTCGCCCCTAGCACCTTGAAGTTGCTAGAGGAAAAAGGGCTTCTCTCCTGGTTCATTTTTTAAATCCTCAAAAGAAACAGGAATGTTCCTCTTGACAAAGAGGATAGTACTAAGATACTTGTGCAGAGACATGGCTTAAATTATCATAGATTTCCTAGGACTAAATATTGTGTGACAGCTGGCAAATTGAGATTTAGGTATGTTAAGTAACTTGGCCAAAATCATACAGGTAGTCAGTGATAAACTAGGACTAAAAGTGCAAGTCACTGATTCCTAGTCCCTGCTTCTTCTGTTATACAGAGCTCTAAAGTGAACATTCTGCTGATTTAACCTTACAAAATAGGGCAGTTCCCCTTACTTTCTTTTCTTTCTTTTTGTTTGTTCGTTTTTGCATTTATTAAAAAAAAAGAAAAAAGGGAAACCTGCTCCTTTCTTCCTTCATATGGAAGAGACATAAGCACAGCAGACACACAGACCAGAGGATTGAAGGCAAAACTAAAAGCTTCTTTTACTTTTCTTTCTTATCCCCTGTAAGATTACCATATTTATATTCTTTCCTCTGAAGTGATTGGATTTCTTCAAAGGCAGAGCTACATAAGGCCAGGTGGCCATGTTAATGGTCATCTAGGGAACTTTTATGAGAGCATATGTATCTCTTACAAGTAATGATTTATTCTTAATATGGCCGTCCTTAGCTGGAAAAGTCTTTATAGGTCAAAGAACCTCATGAATGTTTCAAAAGCTGTTACCAATTTTTCTAATCTTGGTGGTGTTTCTTGATCTCTTTTGCCATCAAATCCTGGTATGTGTATAAGGAACAGATGGAGTAGTTAATAGAATAATGATAACCAGAATTTCTTTTACTATAGAGCCAAAGTATATAGCGACAAAAGAATATTAAACTAGTATTCATCATGGGATATAATTTAAACTTATTTATCTTAAGTGTTTGATTGTTAGGTTTTTCCAGCCATGTTTATTATGAAGATTTAAAAATATCTGATTGGGCCAATGGAACAGCTGTAGAAAATTTTCGGTCCTAGGAGACCTGTTCTCATTATAATAGATATTGATGGGTTTTTTGTTCTTGTTGATGATTTATGACTGATGATATAGAACTTTTAACTACACTAGTCTTTTTGACTTAAAGCACTAAACTTTCCCTTTCTCCCTCCTCTTGTTTTGTCTGACAAGTACCAAATTAGATTTTATAATATTCAGATGTTTAGAGTTGTAGACTACATTTCATTAAGGCACTGCTGGGTTCTTTTTTAAATAAGAAATAACATGAAGAAAAATCTTTTTCTGTATCAAGAAAATGTTGCCTCACATCGTAGCAAATTTACCTGACAATTAAAACTCTTGGATGTTATGTTCTATTTTTGGTATCCGTATAGATGGGTATTCAAAGCTTTTGGGTTATTCTGGATTTTGAATTAGCTGAACATTTTTGAGGGTAGATAGGTAGAAATGCTGCTTAGACCTTCTGTAACAGAATGACTTTCCATGGGGGGTTGAAAGTGGTAATGAGCCGTATGGGAAAGTGCCCAATATGCTTTTTCTGTTGCAATAAAATAACTGGCACTCTGAGGGACTTGGGTAGTCGCTCTATTCAGGGATTGCTGAAGTATCCTGTGCTATTCAGCAACTTAGCCATAAATATTCTATTATGTTTTGGACTTGTTGCCCCTTTCTTTGTTCTTCGTGAAGTATATTGGTTGTGTTTTGACCATTTGCCCTTATATGAAAGGTTTTTGTTTTTTGTGTTTTTTGGTGAGAAGTATAGAAAGCAAGATTTGTAGAAGTACCACAGTCTTCTTTACTCTCAGGATATGAAGCTTGCTGGTGGGTATTCCCCAACACAGCATTGGGAGTTGAATTTTTCTGATGGTTCTGTTGAGTAGAGACCAATTTGAGGAAGGGTGTCCATGTTTTAAATTGTATCCAGATTGCACTTCAATCCTAAACCATTGTGAGGATTTGGGAAATTTACTCATATCCTTCTCCTGTTTTAAATATCATAATGTTAATATTCTGACATGGGAAACATGAGAGAGAATATGGAAGGTGACTTATTGGAGGTATTTAGTAAATCTCCACTAATTTTTACTCCATTAGGAGTGAGGCTTGTCAAAATTAGCCTCCAAAATCTTGAACAATTTTATTTCGTGCTTATTTAAATCATTCATTTTTGTGATTTTCAAGAACATTCAGTAAAATAGTACCAAAATAGAAGAACATTATAATAATCAGTAAGAGTGGACAAAAGGTCTGAACAGACGTTTCTACAAAGGAAATATACAAATGGCCGGTAAGCACATGAAAAGATGTTTGACATCATTAGTCATCAAAACGATAGTGATATTCCACTGCACACCCACTAGGATGGCTATAATTAAAAAGACAGATAATAATGAGTATTGGTGAGGATGTGGAGAAATCTGAATCCATATGCACTGCTTGTGCCAATTTAAAATGGTGTAACCACTTTGGAAAATATTTTCAGAGTTACAAATGGTTAAACATAGAATTAAACATACCACATGGCCCTGAAATTCCACTCCGAGGTATGTACCCAAGAGAAGTGAAAACATGTGTCCACATAAAAACTCGTACGTGAATGTTTATAGCAGCATTATTCACAATAGTCAAAAGGTGGAAATAACCCAAATGTCTGTCAATGATAAATGAATAAACGGAATATGATATATCTGTACAATGGAATATTATTTGGCTTCAAAAAGGAATGAAGTACTGATTCATGCTACAACATGGGTGAACCTTGAAAACATTGTGATAAATAAAATAAGCCAGACACAAAACACCACATATTATATGATCCCTTTTATGTTGTTATCCAAAATAGTCATAGCTATAGAGATAGAAAGTAGATTAGTGGTTACTTAAGGCTGGGAGGGATCGGGGGGTGATAGCTAAAGGGTTCAAGTTTCTTCTTTGGGGTGATGAAAATGTTCTAAAATTGATTGTGGTGATGATGGCACAACTCTATGAATATATGAAAAGCCATTGAGTTATACACTTTAAATTGGTGAATTATATAGGATGTCAACTATATCGCTTTAAAGCTGCTATAAAAACATAACCAATAGACACAAATACTTTACATGACAAATATTTATATAAACAAGTATAATTACGTAAGTTTATCAACTGAAACTAGATTAGTGTGTTTTATTTCCATTTCATCTTTTATATGAAAATAAAGACTTTTAGAGTGCCTGAAAATTCTTATGGGAAATAGTTAAAGTTTCCCTTTTAATCCTGTATGTTAGGAAAGCATTTTCTTCATAACCAACACAAAAGTAAATTTTAAAATAGCCGCAGGATCAATTATCAAAAATTCTAAATATGAAATTTAAATTAACCAGGTTCTACCCTACAGTGTTCCTCTTTTTGGCTTGATTGTATTTTTTTCTATAGCCTTATTAAAGCAATAATAAGCTTAAACTGAGGCATGTGCTATGTCAGGTAATATGACGACATAGGACACAAGAGTCACAGTGAAGGGAAGGAATTTTCATCAGCAACAAAAAGCACATTAAGTAAACATTTGAAACATCATCTTCAAAGGGTATGATAATGGAAGGAAAGAAGAGAAAAAATTAAACAGACTGTTACTTCTCTCTCATTCTACCAGAATTAGATTGGTAATCTCCTATAAGAAAAAAAATCTCTTCCAAACAAATTCCTTGAAAGTGGGTGATTAAAGAAAATGTAAGGAGTAAACTCAAGCTGACTTGAAAAGATTGATGGAAATACCTTGCAAAAGTGAACTTTGCTCTGTATTTGACCTTTTTTAATGAGGTATCTGTTTAATACTTAAAGTATTTTTTAACGACAAGGTTGTCTTTCATTTTATCTAGCAACCATTTTCTTAAAAGTGCTGTTAATAGAAACTATGATCCCTGACACAGAATTATAATTATGGAGACACTGGCTTGTGTATCTCAACGTAGTTATTACCATCTGAAGTATCATACCCAGCAGAGAAACCCTATAGTATATGTATTAAATGTTAGTTTGCCTCTCATTGTCTGCAGCCACCAGACAGTAAGGCTTTACCCACTGTCATTTCAGCCATTCCCTTGACTCCAGTCAGGACTTCACTGAAAATACTCCAAGTATTAACTAACTCTAAAACTCTAAGAGTCTGCTGCTCCGTATGTCAATAGCCTATTCCAGGCTTCTCTCTAGTACTGCTCATACCTTCTAAATTAATATCTTCTTCCTTTTCAGCACATAAGGACTTACGCATGTTCAGTCTTATGTTGGGCACTGTGGATACAACAGTGACAAGACAATCATTGCCCACCCCAAATGGCATTCTCCATTTGTCGTCTTTTCTTATTTTGAGGATTATTACTATATGCAGAATAATGGCATAAATCATGTTATTGTCTTTGCTTATAAAATAGGAAGTATGAAAAGAACGGTCCATGGCAATGTTCTGTAACCTTCTCCTTGTGCCTGTAGGCTACTCTGGATATCAGGATTCTTACCCATATGGCAGGCCAGGTCACTATGCAGAAGTACCCAGGAACTATGATGTGTACACAGCAGGACTTAGTGAAGAGGAACAGCTGGAGAGAGCATTAAGAGCCAGCCTTTGGGACCGAGGTAGGAATTTTGCACCCTTCACTTGTTTTAAAGCATACCTCACATGGTGAGATGGTCTGAGAAAGGACTGTTTGGAGCAAATTAAACTTTAGTTTATAAAAAGGATATGTAGATGAAAAAATGTGTGCAGATTGTGATTACAAGGAATGGGGTGTGATGCCATATGCCCAGCAACCTCAGCTAATAAGGTGCGAGACTATGTATGTATTGTTAAAGTGGTTCTTTTTATAGGCCTGCTGCATTCGATGCTTTGACATTAAAGTCAAAAAACTAAAAAAAATTCAGGGGCATGAAAAAAGGAGTTTGCTTTGGAATCCATATCTGTAAAGCAGGCTCTATGTCACTTTGTATCAAAGTGTTGCCCACACACCTTCCTCAAAATCACATGGACAGCTTGATAAGAATTCAAACTCAGAGTTCCATTCCAGACCTACTGAACCAATCTCTCTGGGGGCAGAACCTTGGAATGTGTATTTTTAACCAGCTTTCCAGAAGATTCTTTTACAAACTCACACATGAAAACCACTGTATTTCTCTTGCCATCTTTGTTCTGGGATTGGCTTATGGGTTTGGGTATTACTGTTTTATTGTTTTAGTAGTGACTAAAACTCATCTATTCATCCAATAAGCATTTGTTAAGGTTTTATTATGTTTCATGTACTGTGTTAGGTACAATAAGGAATTCAGAGAGGTAAAAGACGGAATCTGTCCTCAAAAAGTTCAGTCTCAGGGCCGGCCCCATGGTATAGTGGTTAAGTTTGGTGTACTACGCTTTAGCGGCCCAGGTTCACGAGTTTGGTTCCCGGGCACATTCCTACACCGCTCGTTGGCAGCCACAGTGTGGCAGCAACCTGCATATAAAGTGGAGGATGATTGGCACAGATGTTAGCTCAGGGCTGATCTTTCTCAAGCCAAAAAAGAAAAAAATAGTTCACAGTCTCTGGGAGTGGAGACGCCGTAACACACCAGTAACCATAATATCAGGTACCTAAGAGAGTTTAGGCTAAGTTCTAGAGGCAATGAGAGGGGGCAAGCTTCTTCTTAACTAGAGCCCTCAGAATTTCATGGAGGAGGTGGCATTTGAGTTGGACCTTCAAGAATGTGTAGAGTTTGCATAGATGTGGAAGGGTCTTCCAGGCAGGAGTCAGTATCTGCACAGACACAGAAGTAAGGGTCGTGGTTAGCCAGCCTGCACTTTTGAACTGTGCACTGAGAGAGGAAGGGAAGAAAGAGTGGGAAGTTAAGCTGAGGCCTGATCCCAGAGGCCTTAAAATTAAATGGGCCAAGTGGAAAATGGATCTGGTATATGATGTACATGCCAGTAAGTTCTGCTGGGGGGAGTGATGTGATCAGAGCTGTGTTTTATGAATCTGTCAGCAGTCATTCCACAGACAAGGACTGAGCACCTGTAGGGGGTACCAGGCATTATGCTAGACGATGGGAATACATAAATTATGACAACTTCATTTCACACTTTAAGGAATACAGTCTTAGCAGCTACAGTGCACATGGAGGTGGGCAATTACAGCAAGAGGGGAGATAACTCAGAAGACTTGCAGTAGTCTGAACAAGAAATGAAAACCTAAATTATGAAGGCGGCAGGGGAAATTCAGAGGAAGAGATAGATCAGTATTTATTAGGTGGAGAGTATCAAAACTGTGGCGTACTGGTCGTCTATTGCTGTGTAACAAGTCACCCAAAACACATGGCTTAAAACAATAGACATTTCTTTTTGTTCTTGAGTTTATGCGTCAGCTGGGCCAGACTATGTGACCTTGGCTGATGTGCTAGAGTGTCTGCAGTGGTCAGCTGAGGCTGGCTGCTCTAAGATAACCTCATTTACATGCCAGCCTACTTTTGTCTGAGGTAATGGTGGAGATTGAGCCGCACATCGCTCCTCATGCAGCAGGCTAGCCCAGGCTCCTTCATAAGGCCTCAGTGCAAGGGTTCCAAGAGAGTGTGGAAATAAGCAAGGTTTGTGCTGGTACGTCATCAGTCCCGCTGTATTTTATTGCTGAAGCAAGTCACAACACTAGCCCAGAATCATAGAATAGGGAAACAGACTCCGCCTCTTCATGGGAGTAGCTGCAGAGTCATGGTGCAAAGATCATGAGTGGAAGGAGGGGTGGGGAATTGGGGCCATTCTTGTAATCACTGTATCGCATGTAGTCAATGGACTACCAGATCGCAGTCACTAGAAGCCTGCCTTAGCCAAGGAATCCTAAATTCAGGGGGTAGGGCCCCAGAGCCCGTATTTTAACAAATTCTCATGGTTATTCCTATACACACAGGAGTTTAATCACTACTAGGCAAGATTTTAAATATTATGGGATAGGTAGGTCAGGGTAAAGCTGCTCAGCAGAAGGCTTTATTTAGGATCACAAAGGGACAGCACAACAGAATATTTTGGAGTGATAGAACTATTCTGTATCTTGATTGTTGTGATGGAAACACAACTCTTTGCGTTTCTCAAAACTCTCATGACTGTACATCACGAAGAGTAAATTTTCCTATAAAGAAATTTTAAAGAAGTAAATAAAAATAAGAAACCCAATGGAATGACTGATAGTCTTGCAAATATCAAAGACTACAAAAACCATTAGTTAGAAGGTTGTTGAGAAACAGGACATTCACACAGTGATAAACTATCAGTTCATAGAGGACATGCTAATAGAAAGTGAAAAATGTACCTTTGCAATGACGAGATTTCCATAGTCACCACCTGAAGCCAGTGGTCAAACTCAGCAGCATCATTAGGGATGGCCTGACAGCATGTCCTGATATGATGCACTATGAAGAACACAGCATCATCTATGACATATTCTTGCTAAAAATGTTTAACCTGACTCTAAGTCTTCAAATGTAAGTGTCAAGATACAGGAAATACATGGAATAGAGGAACAAGTTGAATAACACCATGGAGAAATAATCAGACAAAACAGGGAATTGCTACAATTCAATGAGACTGGTCTCCTGAAAAAAAAAAAAAAACAAAAATAAAATCAATATCATAAAAAAAAGCAGGATGTGGTTTTTATATTAAAAGAGAATAACCAAGCGTAACATAAGAACCTTGAAAAACTGGTTGTAAAAGACATTTTTTGAGAAAACAGGAATTTTGTATTGGAACTAGCTATTAGATGTTATTAGGGAAATAATCTTTCTTTGATGTGACAGTGGTATTGTAGATAAGTAGGAGAATGACCCTTATTCTTGGGAGATACATACTAAAGTATTTGGAAGCAAAATAATATGTCTGCAACCTAGTTTCTGAGGTCAGCCAGAGCAACCCTCTCCTGTCTCTGCTTTCCCCTCTCTCTCTCCCTCCTTGCCTCCCTCTCTGCCCCTAAACCTCCACAAGTTCTACATTCAGATAAGTTTGGGAAACACTACAAACTATACCCTCTTGAAGATCCAGAATGACACTGGTATGCTGATGATTCTAATGAGCCCTGCAATTAAGAAACCAATTTATTAAATTAATGCTTTCCAAATTTGTTTGACCACAGAAGTTTACTTTCAATGAATGATTTGAAGAGCATATGGAACTAGTTCCAAGGACACTGATCTAAAGAGACTTCTTGAAGTGCGTTATACAGTAACGGGTGACAGCAAGGGAAGTGGCTTTACAAATTGTTTATATTCATTTCATTTTCCTTAAAACACTTTGTGATTGTCTTATTAAGAGTGAGAAACCAAGGAGACATCTTTTTTTAAAGCCATGTATTATTTTTTAGCTTTGTTTCTATGGAAAAATATTTGGTTTAGTTTATTTTATAAAATTATGACCATACAGTGCATACTATTTTGCACCTTACTTTTTTCCATTCAATATTATGTTGTAATCATATTTTCACATCACTAAACTTTTTGAACATATAAATCCTCCATATATTTTCTTAGATTTATATCTAAGTATTTCTCTCTTTTTTTTTTTGGAGGGGGAGTATAATATTAATACTATATTAAAAAGTATAAATAGTACTTTTTAAGAAATTCTAGGGGCCGGCCCCGTGACCGAGTGGTTAAGTTTGCATGCCCCGCTTTGGCAGCCTGGGGTTTCGCTGGTTTGGATCCTGGGTGCCGACATGGCACGACTCATCAGGCCACAGTGAGGTGGCGTCCCACATGCCACAACCAGAAGGACCCACAACTAAAATATACAACTATATACTGGGGGGATCTGGGGAGTAAAAAAAACAGAAAAAAAAATTCTATGTCTGTTGAGATTATTAATACTTTTTTCCTTAGTCTATTGACATACTAAATTCTTTTCATTTTCAAAGTTGAAGCAGGCTTGCGTTCCCAGGATAAATTTCACTTGGTTGTGATATTTTATGGTCTATCCTGGTGAAAATGCCACGTGCACCTGAAAGTAATGTGTATTCTGCTCTAGTCAGGTAAGTGTTCTACAAATGTTAATTCGATTAACTCGGTTGATACTATTGCTCAGGCCTTCTGTGTCCCTCCTGATTGTCTGCTTGTTCCATTGAATACTGTATTTTTTTTTTTTTGAAGATTGGCACCGAGCTAACATCTGTTGCCAATCCTTTTTTTTTTTTTTTTTCTGTTCTTCTTCTCCCCAAGTCCCCCAGTACATAGTTATATATTCTAGTTGTGGGTCCTTCTGGTTGTGCCATGTGGGATGCCGCCTCAGCATGGCCTGATGAGCAGTGTCATGTCTGCACCCAGGATCTGAACTGGCAAAACCCTGGGCTGCTGAAGTGGAGCGCACAAACTTAACCACTCGGCCACGGGGGCCAGCCCCTGAATACTGTATTTTTAATTACACAGTTACTGTGAGTAATATTGAATACATGTTGTTCTCTGGTTGCCCTTGGTACACCAAGGCTTCAGATTCCTCTAGCGTTACCTGGTTTTTAGGTTGGGGGCCAGGTTGCTTTTCTCGGTGTCTGCTTGAATTTCCATTCCAGGGCTTTCCTTCGTGCTGGAACTGCGAAGGTCCCCCCTTCCCTACCTTGTCCCTCTCGCAGGGGTGC